CAAGGTGTAGCCTGTGATATTGGAAGGGGATGCCCCATGTCTGCTCTAAACAAGGGTCTTCAGGGAGAAAATGGCAGTGGCAGTGGCAGTGGCAGGTAAGGCTGTGCACAGCCTCATTGGCTGGCTGGGTGGTGGTAACAGGCCAGAACCTCAGGCAGGGTACCATGAGGTTGGCCTATGGTATCCTGCCTGTTTGTATAGGCCATTTGACAACAATCCTCTTCTCTTCAGAAATGTAGAAATTGTTATTTGCCTCCTTTATTTCAGCTGACTTGCAAAGTTGATTTTTCTTGATCAAAATGATGCAAAACATGATTGAAATCACTTGTTTGAAAAAAGCCATTTTAATTATTTAAAACACAGTTCAAATCAAGTAGTGCAGAAGATTCTATTTAATCATTATTTTTGGTAGAAGTACTGAGTTTATTATTTAGTGTAACCTTGATGCATATTGGTGTAGATCTCATTACAAGGTAGCTACACTAAGACATTGTTCTGAATTGTTTTTAGATTAATTTTCAGTGCATCAGAATAATTTTAATGCATTTATATCCAGACTCTACTTTCTGTTCAGGTCTACTCCATCTTCCCAGATTATCTATTCATTAATCTTCTCTATCTTTGCACTTAGAAAGAGGCAAAAAAGAGAGAGAGAGAGAGAGAGAGAGAGGGAGGGAGGGAGGGAGAGGGAGAGAGAGAGAGAGAGCATGTTCATAATAGGTGTATCTCTCGTTTTCTTAAACTGCTGTTAACATATTCATAGATAGTAATTAAAAGTTATATATAGTTAGTATCATGATTTCATCATTGATCCAGGCTTCTTTTCTTAAAGAAAATTTGAAATTTGATTAAAATTCTGAAAAAAATTAACTTAAATTTTAAAAATCTGATTTTGATATTTTAATCATTAATTTTTTAATTCATTTAATTCTTAGACAACATCTGCACTGCAGAAATAATGCAATTTGACATAGAGCCTCTACAGACGGTGTTTTCTGCCCCCTTGGAGGCAGGGGAGGGGAGGGGAGGGGCAGCCACATGCCGGGCACCCCGACCCCTTCCTGAGGATGACATCACAGTGTGCGCCATTACGCATGGTGCGTGCCATCAAGACATCCTGCTGGCACAGCATCTTAGCACGCTGCACCGGAAGGGATGCAGAAGAGCCACGCAGTGGCTCTTAGGGCACCCTATTTGCTGCCTTTGAAAGGAGCGGCATTTTGGCAAAAGGGAGGATCAGGACCAATGCATCTGGCAGCCTCAGCCTCGATCCTCCATTTCCTGGGCGGCCCAAGGCTGCCCATCTGCATCCCCCCTTAACTTTAAATACCATGGCTATGGAATCCTGGGATTTGTCATTTGCTGTGGCATCAGAGCTCCATGACAGCAATGACTAAATATCTCATAAAACTACAAATCACAGAATTCAATCATATTCCATAACACTTTATCATGGCAGTAATGTGGTGTCAAACTGTGTTATTTCTGCAGTGCAGATGCAGCCTCAGTCTTGTCTTTTATTGGCCAAGATCCTCTGTATACCAATGGTCCAACCACATGGGATATGCTTGCAAACTCAGGGGAGAAACCCTAAGAATTGGAAGAGACAACCCTGCAATTGGACTTTTTCCAAGATGCTCATAAGTCTTGATTTTTATTTCAAGTTGACTGGTGTCCACAAAGAATATAACTGGTTCTGTCTTAAAACATCTTGAAAAACTGTACAACATGGGTATAGGTATCCTCCCTAAAACAGATTTACAATACATATCTTACATACTTATTGTTAGTTTGGAAATATGTGACAATAAGAGAAATTTGAGTATACCGTAGGCCTGTGTTGATAAAGGTATGGTATGTGTGTGATTTATGGTCAGCGGGCATTTGACATTGTCATCTCTGAGGCTGAGAGAATGTGACTGGGTGTTTCTAGCCACCCTATCACAGGGCTTTCTTGGCAAGCTTGGTCAGAGGTTTGCCATTGCCTTCCCCTGAGACTGAGAGCGAGTCACTTGCCCAAGGTCACCATTGGGTTTCATATATCCAAGAGGGAATTAAATCCTGGTCTCCAGTCATATTGCTCCCTTAGGGAGCTGGGGATGTTTAGCCTGGAGAAGAGAAGGTTAAGGGGT